TATTTACTCTCTCTCTCTTTCTTCTTCTTCCACATCTTCTTCTTTTTTCACTTCTTCTTAATATTATTCTTATTAATCTTATTTGTGTTATTCTTATTATTCTAATTCTTATTATTCTTATTTTTATTCTTATTATTTTCTTTTTGATGTTGGATATTACAACAGTGCAAAGTATTTGGCCGGGTATAATTTTATTTGATTAAAGTTTTTTTTTCTCCAATATCCGGGAAATAAATATGTGTAAAATATACATTATGTATAAAATATAGGTATTTATAAACTATAAGCAAATTTTAGAATTATTTTTTTTAAATAGAGACATTGGAACAATTCAAATTTTCTGAAACCATTCTTTATTTCACGTCTAATGAACTGTAAATTTAAAAGTTTTCAAAGAAATATAAAATGAAATGGCAACTGTACGACTTATTTACTTATTTCCTTTAACTGCACAATTTATTACGTATTTCCGATAAAATTTTTACTTTTAAGAAAGTGGTTTCAGATCCGCAGCAACTAATAAAATTTATATAAGGATGGAAAACAAAATTATTTTTGATTGTCTAATAGCTACGACCGGACGAATAGCAACTGAAATAGATTCGGATAGATGGATTATTTTTCTGATTGTATATGATAATAGCTGTGAATGAAGCTTACTGTACAGTCTATGAAAACAGAAGGGGAAAAATGGACCACCCTCAATAAGATTTGATCTAATAATCGGATATTCACATTCTAGGACTCAATCTTGACGGCTCGAGGGGATGATCTCAAATATGTTAATTAATAAGAGCAGACGATATTTAAAATTACAAAATCCGACTCAGAAACGTACTTCTCTGAATAAACAAACCTGTTTTTCGACGGATTCGGATTTCCGACCCTAAAAATACAGGGGGGGGGGGTAGCCACAAAGTGGGAAATATGGTCTCACGGTTAGATCAGGAGAGAGCTCAAAAGTTTGGACCCTTGAATGTTAATTTTACTTTTTTACTTATACTATATCTCGAGATCCTTTTAAGAGAATTGTAAATATTTGAACGCAACTATAAAATTCGCTTGTCCACAGAGAATTTAATACAAAATTTAAGTTTAAGTAAATACTCATTAATTTTTATTTTATTTAATAATGATTGAAAGAATTTTGAATTGTGAGGTACACAATTTTTTGCATCATTTAAAATATTGTATTGCAAGGCTAAATAAAAGAAATTGAGCCAAATCAGGAGAATAGTGCCTGAGAAATCGAATTTTGAATATCTAAAATTTTTAGAATTTAATTTCTTGAAACTATTCAACCAATTTTGCACAAATTTTGAAATTCGCCGTGTAAAATTATATTCGTTACAATGATGTAAAAATTATAATTCAAACTCGTTTTGACTATTATTAAATAAAACAGTAAAAAATAATAATTTTTTGCCTGGAATTTTCTTTTGGTTAAACGAATTTTATCATTGTGTGAAAAAAAGTTTCAATTCGGTTAAGCACATGATATATAGCGAAATTTGCAAAAATTAAAATGAACACTGAGGGGACAAAAATTTGGAGCGTTCTCCTGACAAAACTATCTGGACTATATTTCCCAGATTGCGACTATTTTCGGGCTCAGAAATCTGAAAAAAAAAGGTATCTACATCTACAAAAAGGCATCTACAAAAAAAGGTATGTTTATTTAGAGAAAGACGTTTTTGTGTCTGATATCGTAACTAAAAATATCGTCTGCACAAATCAATTAGCATATTTGAAGTCACTCCCTTTTACCATTAAGTCTGGAACGCGAAGATCTAATCCTCGAATCAAAAGTTATTCAGAGCAGTTAGTTTTTTTCTGGGGGGGGGACTCACTGTACTTCTTGATCAGCAGCAAATGTAATTGTAGTTAGGATAAGGAACGGAAAATGATTACAGCTACAAAATCACTTGATTGTGCATTCGGAAAAGCAATAGGGATATGCGGTTGAAGTGACGGAACAGTAGCAATTGCAATTATCTAATTCAGATGTAAAAATAAAAAATAAAAAAATCAAACTGTACAGACTACGAGTTTCTAATTGAGGAAGAAAAAAGAAACAATTTTTTTTCTATTGTATATTATAATAAGGATATACGTCATGACTGGCGGCAACTGCCATTTTTAGGTTAGGGCAGTTGTTGTAGTTTATTTACGTTGCACTAGAGCAGCACAATGGTCTATTGGCGACGGTCTGGGAACTATCCCTGAGGATGATCCGAAGACATGTCATCATAATTTTGATCCTCTGCAGAGGGGATGGCACCCCCGCTTCGGTAGCCCAACGACCTGCACGTGAAGTCGTGCACTTTACGATAGAACAGTTTAAAGAGGACCAATACCGCTCACCCTCGGTCCCTATGCAGAATGATCCAAGTGGTCACCCACCCGTACAGTGACCGTAGCCAGTGATGCTTGAATTCGGTGATCTGCTGGTAACCGTGTCCACGGCATGACAGGTTAGGATAGAAAACGAAATAGAGTAATATCTACTAAACTCCGCATTGTTCGGTTTGACAAGCAGCAAGAATGTTCCACCAGAACAGCAAAAACTACAATTTTTATATCTGGATGGAATGCAATTTTTTATCGCAAAAGATGACTATGAAAGTGTGCTTACTACGGTTGCACAACAGGAATTGCAATTTTTATATGCGGATCGAATTTTTTTTATTATTTATGTTCATAGCTACAAAAAGATGTAGATTAATATTCGAAATATTGATTTTAGCTAGAATAGTGCTTTCCTTTTTCGAAATCAAGCCTCCTTAAAAAAGTCTTAATTATTTAAGAAAAACAAACCAAGCTAAAAAAATAAATAATGTTATATATAATGATTTAAAGATTTAAAAGTCGTTTAAATCTGGAACGAACTCACAGTCATTACCACTGTGTTTGTTATATTACCAGACTGATATTTTTTCTCTTCACGTCGAACAGGTTTTTATTACATAATTTAAAGATATTGCCACTTTAGGAAATGAAACTAAACAAACAATTGATTTAGAAATTAATTTGCATGACACACAAAATTATCCAACATTTTAGAAGGCAATGGTCCTTCCCAATTAAATAAAGATTAATTCTAATAGAAAAAATTTAAAATTAGGCTTATATACGTTTATTGTAGTGCATATTTATGACGTAAATGATAAATCCTATATTCAACTTAATATTTAAGAATTGTACTGCATGTAAATATGATATTTTGGTCCAAATATATACATTCCAAAAACGTATGAAGAATCGCATATTAAATAGATTTTTTATTAATAATTTAAACAAGCCGTTTGCGATATATTATCATAAGTAACTAAAAAAATTTAATGAGCCTGGATTAAAAAGCTAACTATTTGATATATTATTGAATCAAAATGAAATACAATCAGAATCAGTTAAATATTTATTTTTAACAACAAAAAAAAAGAAATACAAAACATGGCGATTCTAAGCTTAGTTTGTCGCACACTTAATGCGCCAATTTCTTGTTTTATACCACACAAACATTCGAAATTGTTAAATAATTCATTAAATGTTGGTTAAAGGTCATATTTTAAGTAAATATTTACTTAATAAAGGAATTTTAATGAAAATTTTTATATTTGATATATAGTTAGAACTGAGCAATTCAAGGAACCTAAAAAAGTTATTCGCTTACTTATTTTTAAAGCAGACAAAAAAAAAGCATTCAGAAAGAAATTTTAACAACTTAAGGTCGTTTATATACTGCATATATTAGTAAATAGATTCAATAAATTATAAATAAATGAATAGTTTCCTCACATTAGCTAGTTCCAGTTCCAGGCTGACAGTTATATCTTCTGCAATTTATTACCCATTTCTTTTTTCTTTCGAGATCTGATTGAAATCTTAACATTAGAAAGCTTTTTCTAAACTTTTGTTCTATTTACAGATGCCTTATTAACCATATCAATAATTTTAAGTATCTAAATGGGCTTAAAACTCTCACGCTAATGTTTACTCTACGTAACAAGAGAACTTGTTTGCTCCATTACCGCCGATTATAATTTTCCGTTTTTTTCGTAATTAATCGTCATTATATATTTTTTAATATGATAGCAATCAAATGTTTATTTATATTTATTCATGATCTTATTTTTTCTTGCTTGGAAATGGGATTAATGTAAAAAATATATCAATAACTTTCTTAGACATTTTTAAATATTGTATTGTTCCACATTTTGGATGAGAATTTTTAAAATGTTTTCTAAATCTATATAAGCAAAAAAACTTATGAAACTAAGAATGTAAGTAAGTAAAAAAAAACACACTTCTACAGTTTTCCAAAAATTATAAACTTTTACCAAAATGCAATTTAATTATTAATCAATTTTTGCAATGCGTATAATTTTAAATATTATTTCTATTTCATTGACTTAATTTTTAAATTATATTAATTTATTATTAGATAAAAAAGTAGTATAAGTTTAAGGAATGTAAATTAAATTGAGTATATAAAAATAATCTAAAATGATTTTTTACGATATTAGAAAGTTTAAAGTGAATCAGTATGAACATTTACAAATTTGTTGGAATTTTTGGTAAATTTTCACCACAGCAGTTCGCTACTGCAGCAAAGCTGAGTACAAAATTTGAACAAAAAAATCAAAACATTTCTAATAAATATATTAATATTTAAATTTGATTTCTTTACACGCATACCTTTCATATAAGTTTTATGCTATAATCTTATTTTCCTAAATACAACATTGATTGTTTGTGAAATCGTATCTTTCGAAATACCACCTGCACCACTTCCATTAATCTGTCGAGTTTTTTAAACAAACACTCGTATACAGATTTCTTCAGCATGTTTGAAATTACTAATCAAACAATTCTTCATTTGTTTACAAATGCCCTTGAATGTCACTATTAAATATTTGAACCGTATAGAAGCACATGGCGAAAATAAATGCCTGACATGACAGATGAATGAAGAATTTACATATAAATAAACAGATCTCAAAAGAAATTCAGGATCTTGTTCTTAAAGCGTTGTCTCTTTATTTTCAAGACCAATAGTTAATTTGTAAGTATATCCTTATTGTAAATGTAACGGAAATATAGTTTTTTTCCTTGCATCTAAAAATGACGTTAAATAATAGTAATTTTGAGGTGTTAATTCGGAAAAAGCGTAGGATGAATAAATTAAACAAGGAAGACCATTGCGCTAGGTTAGGGACCATATCGGAAGTAGCAACAGTCACCGCCGGATGGTTTGGATTTTTTTCAGGAATCTTCAGTTTGATTACTCCCTTAAATGTCATAATGGTGGGTGTCTTGGCTGTATCTGGCGTAATGAAAGGTCTCAGCGACGTAAAGAGTGCTGCAATAGGCTGTCCCGATCCTGATAAAAATAAATACAAACACTCATTACAGGGCAAGATTAACGAAAACAATCGAAGAATAGATAGAAAATCAGAAATGTTGGGAAGAGTTTCAAAACAAATAAGCGAATTGTTGTTGCTTGCGGAAAAAACAAGAAAAGAAATGAAAGAAGGCTTTGACCGAGTAATTAAAACGTTCAAAAAACAGAAATTTGTAGATTTAATTATAAATGTAAATCAAATTAGTGATTTAGTTGAATTGAAACGTCAAACGTGGATGCGAATTCATGACGATAATTATGTCTTCTTTATAGAAGAGCTGAATAATCGCAATGAGTTATATAATTTGGTTTCAGTAACTAATTCAGATGAGCACACTTTGTACAATTCTTTATTATTTATCACAGATCCAGAACATGGTATTTTCCATCACATTGATCGTGCGAATGCCTTCGATTCTCTCTTAACTGTAGCTTATGGAATTCAAATATATATCGAAATCGTCCTTGCGTTATTAGATCAAAACTTATTTTTGGCCATTTATTATCACAGTCGTAACGATTTCTTAAGATTTAATTTTTATTTCAACCGTTTTAAGGCACATTACCTAGATTTCACAAATACTCTCTTTTCTCAGGAAGAATCACTGTACAATAGAGTATTGCCCATTTTAAAAAACGTTGTGTTTTCTAGATACATGAAAGAAGAACAGTACGAAAACATTAAGAATGAGACTGAAAAATTAAAATTATTCGAAAAAAGTTTTTATGATATGGAGAAACTCATAATATCTGATTCTCCTGTAAATAATGTAATAATCCGATTCCCGGAGAATACAGCAAATAATGCCTGCATTGCAACTCCATTTTTAAATTGGATTCCGGGATATAAAGTAAGCTACGCCTTTCAATACGAAAATAATGGTACATTTTCATCAGTTAGTGATTGGAGTGAGCCGATGCAAATTACTAATTGTGCTAGTCCACTGATAAAAGTAGACTCAAGAAAATACCGAAGATTTGTTTACAGAAAATTGATCGGTGGACCAGAGGAAGCAAAACCACAATTAGTTAAAATTTTAGAAACTTCAGATAGAAACTTTAGAGACATCGATAGAAACTTTTACAACTTGGCAAAAAGTGACACCATTAGCGAAGAGGCTGGGCTAGGGGCTTTAAAAATTTTACACGAAGCTGGAGCAAACATTTCAGCAATATATGAAGGAAAAAGAGTAGCTAGTCACGCTGCAGCAAAATATTTAAGTACAAATACTATTTTAAGACATATTTTGGAAACTAATGCTTCCTTGGTTCATGCAAAAGACCGAGAGGAAAACACTCCTTTACATCTTGCTTGCGAATACAACAGAATTCGCAACGTCAAGCTATTAATTCGAAAGGGAGCAGATGTTAACGCTAAAAATAACAGAGGAATAACTCCTTTGCATTTTGCTGTCAGTCGACAGTTTACGAATATTGTAGAGGAATTATTGAAAAATTCTAAAATTGATGTAAATGCGCCTAATAACGGTAATTACACTCCTTTACACTTTTCAATTTTAAGCGACATTCCTCAAATGGATATCATTGAAAACCTGTTGTCAAAAAATGAAATTAATCAAAATGTTGTAGATGAGTTCGAATATACTCCATTGAACCTGGCAGTCATTCGAAATTTAACTTCTGTCGTGAAAAAGCTGCTAGGTAAATTTGACACAGATTTAAATATAAAAAATAAATACGGTTTGACTCCCATACATTATGCTGCAAAGGAAGGATATTTGGATCTAGTTAACATCTTACTTTCAAATCTCACTAGAATAGATGTCTTCGTTAAAGACGAGAAAGGTTGGACGGCTTTACACTATGCTGTCCATTTTAACCATATTGATGTTGTAAGACAGTTAGTAACAGTGAATTCTGCTCTTATTAATGATGGTGATAATAATGCAGTTACTCCTGTTCATGTTGCAGCTGCTAGAGAAAAATATGACATATTGCAATTTTTGATAGAAAGAGGGGCTCTACTGGAAAGTAAAACATTGAAGGAAAACTATACACCACTCCACCTTTCAGTAATGCACAATGATACAAGCGTTACGAATATTCTGTTAAATGAAGGAGTTGCTATTGAAAGCAGAACTGTCAATGGATCGACGCCTTTACATTTGGCGGCATATTACGGAAGAATAGAAAATTTTAAGCTGCTTCAGAATAATGGCTCCAGTTTAAGTTCTACTGATAATGATGGTAATTTGCCTTTTCATAGAGCTATTAGCGGTGGGAGTGTTGAAATCGTAAAACATATATTAACCGATCATCCTCAATTTATAAATACCAGGAACTACTATAATTTCACACCTCTTTATTTTTCAATAGAAAAGATTGATGTTTACGGGACCGATATATACGATTATATTAAAGAAAAAGAGGGGGGATCGAATTTCACCGATTCGTCAGGCACATCGTTTTTAACTCTTTTTGCTAAGCAAAACAATTTAGCTGCTCTTGATTTTCTCATAGACGAAGGCGCCTACAATGATACAGCAATGGATGGCTCATTTCTTTACCACTTTATTGATAAGGATGACCTAGGCGCGTTTAGATACATTCTTGAAAAAAACGTTATTGATCTTGATAGGGAGAGATCAGCCGAAAAGACTGCGAGGGATAGATTCATGTGTCGTGCAAAGTTATACAAGCATTTAGACATAGTAGATTATCTGAAAAAAGACAAAATCGATCTAGCTTGGTGTGATCTTGATCCCTTGTACAAAGCAGTTTCCAAAAACAATATTACAAAACTAACTAACTTAGTTAATGATGACTATATTGATATAAACAGAAACTATACGACTTCGTCCTCAGTTCTCATATGTGATTCAATTTCCAAAAGTTACAAAGAAATAGCGTTGTTTTTAATTCAAGAAAATATAAATCTTAACGTCTCATGCGAGTTCGACCGTGCAAATTTGGTGGTAAAGAATAGAAAATATTTCGAAAGAAGAAATATAACTTTTACTCCTCCACTTCTTCTAGCAATGTTCAAAGGGGAAACCATAATTTTTAAAAAGATTCTTGAACATATAGATCCGAACAAAAAGGATTTAAATGAGTTTGTACCATTGTCTTATGCTGCTTTTTTTGGTGACATGGAAGATATAAAGCTTCTTGTAGGGAGAGGAGCTGATGTAACGATTCGTGACAAAAGTGATTTTTATACTCCCGCGCTATGGGCTGCAAGTAGTCACCAAGTTAAAAAAACAATATATTTTATGCATCAAATATACCATAACGAGACTTTAATGAAATTAATTTGCCAATCGTTATGCAAAGATATATTTGATGATGTGGCAGGAGACAAAACAAAGTACGAATCGACGTGTAATGGTATTTTCAAAGAAGTTATAAGAATATGTGAAAAGTTTAAGGATTCAACTCCTGAGGAATTAAAAATTTATGTGGAGAACAAAGAGTACGAGGACGAAAAATTAACACAAGGCTACAAACGACGTGCAATAAAAGTTACGCGAAGTTATCATAAGTTTCATGAAAATAAAAACTTATTACCAAATTTGAGTACGCTGAATGGTTCTACTGATAACTCGAAGTTTAAAAGATATGCCCTCACTCATGGAGACATAAATTCTGCTTTACTTTTAATGGATTTATTTGTTCGCAAATATTCAAATCAGAAGTACTCTAATCAGATCGAACGTGAATCCCCTTTCGAACAAAGATCTCTAGCTTTAAAAATCACCCGAAATCTGGAGCAAATGAAGAAATTATTGACAATCAAAGAAGAAGAAGAAGAGATTGATTTCTTTGATGTGTATTCGAAATTGTTGAAAGCTATCAGATCAGGACATGAAGAGAAAACTTTCGATATTGTATGCTCTTTAATGGAGGACTTTCTGTCGGTACAGCCTTCAAAACTACTCAGGGGAATTTTTTCCACTACACTGAAAATAAAGCTCGTGAAGCACATGTTTAATCCAAACCTTCCCAAACTCTTCAATCAGTTGTGTATTCAATGATTTGATTTTTATCAGTACTAATTGCGATTTCATGGCTAATGGTTGAAACAACTTAAGCAACTCACTCTAAAATCAGTCATGTTATCGATAAGTTAATATTGATCAATAATAAGTAGAATTCCATTACTAACTGTTCTAACTAATTAAGCAACTTACTCAAATACTTTACCTGTTTTAAAAATGATTTAAAGTTGAAATACTATGAATTTTAATCACACGAGTAGTGGTTCTTCCTGCCAAATCCCTTTAATCAGTCGAGTTATTAGTAATATAATTTCAATCAGTACTAATTGTGATTTAATGACCAACGATTCAATCAACTTATTATGATTCCATGATCCAAGAATTCAAATAATGTCGGTTGTTGGCAAAATTTCTAGTAGCCTGTTAAAATTATTCGCTCTTCCTCCATTTATAGTTCTTTTTCTGCTGAATTTGAAATTTTGTTGTATACATTCATTCATAAAAATCAAATACATAAATTAGGGATGCTTATTACAAATGTATGAAATTCATATGACAGCATGATAAAATATAAAATGTTAAGAAAGAAATTTGAACATAAAGAAAATCTATTAGGTTTCAAAGTATTTTGTTTATACAATTAAATTTTTATATTTTTTTATATTATATTTCAAAATTTGCGATTACGCGTAAAAAGGTTTATCACCACGGTTTTAATTTTTATGCAATTATATAACATGAGACGCAAATTCGAAAAAAAAAAACCTTTGTTTTGAAGAATTTCACAGGAAATTCCGAAATCACGAAACTCGAATTAACTTAAAATTGCTCAATTTCTGTGAATAAAATGTGTAGAATGTGCTTCATAGTATTTGGCAAAAAAACTTGAATCAATTGCATTTTTCTACTTTTTAATATGATATTAACACGTCTTTCAAATCGCTCATCTAAATAATTATCTTTTGACGGGCTCAATTTTTCACCGATTTTATCATAAATCTATGTGGTTTTTAGCAATTATTATATAGAATATTATTATAGTAATTATTTAGAAATTATTAATAGGATACTATTACGACAAGTGAATTTCGAATCTCACATTTGGATACATTATTGATGCACGCTTATGATTTGTGTCTTGAATTCATGTTGTTATTCAAATTGCTTTTTCAGTGACTATATCCATGAATTTCGCCATACTATTTAAAATTCCGGCATTTTTAATAAAAAACTATTCATAAATCTAGAATCGCGTACATGAGTAATTCACCTACTGATTTTCAAACACGCTCCTTTGAGTTGGTATTGATTAAATCGTAAATTCATGTGTTTTTCAAGGATTGCCGTTAAAGATTTCTACATGTTTCCGTTTTCTTGCTGCATTTAATCAGATATTATTACGCTGGTAAATTTCGAATCACACATTTGAATTATAACTTTGACGCAAGCTTTCGATTTTCGTCGTTATCGCCATCTTCGACGTTAACTCACATTTTTTTAAAGCGGCAGTCATACCCATAGATTTCTAAATAATTTTAAAATTCCTCATATTTTTAAATTGAAACTATCATGACTCATAAATCTCGAATGGAGCATATGAGCAATCAACTTTCGATTACCTCATAACCAGAAATTTGAAGAATACGCGCCAATTCTCAGACAGATTTTTTTACAAGTATATTTATGGATAAAAATGTCAGTTAGCAATTGAAAAGATAAGAATATACTCGCCAATTAAAATTTGTAGTCGCCAATGACGACAGTTTGGCCCTTTATTTTTAACCCTGTCTATGATATGATTATGATTCCATGGTTAATGGTTTAAGCGACTTACACAAATTCTCTAATCAGTTTTGTTATTAATAGATTGGTTTAACTCAATACTATACAGTGTTGCAAGTTAAGAAAAGACAATTGAAGTATAGGATTTAGCATTTAAGTAATTTTCTGCGACTGCATATAATCCCGTTTTATTTTGTTATGAACTTAGAAAAATATGCTTTAAAAATATATAAGCTTTTAAGAATTAAACACATCAGACAAAAATTTTATTCGAGCTGTCTTTTACGGTAGAATAATTAAAAAAGGCTAGAGTTTCATAATAATTGACTTGGACACTCTAGATTTGGCGACATATTTCTATAAATATAAGGAGAACATTTGTTCAGTAAAAAGAAACAACTATATTACGTTGCAAGAGCATTGGATTTGATTGGATCACTAAAAATGGAGATCTTGTGCTGGCATGCTCATTACAAATCAAATGCGAGATAAAGAATTTTTACTTTTATTTCGCTCTAGATTAAAATCATCTAAAGAAACAATATTTATTATTCTTTCATTAGTTTCTTTAAATGTGAGTTGGCGATGTTGGTATACGTTCTCGCTGGCAACTTATCCATTTGGCGTGCACTTAATTGCAAACAGATTCTCTCCGCAGGGATGATGATTTTTCTTAAATTGCAGCACAATATAGTTATGATTTCATGTCTAACGGTTCAAACAATTTAAGCAATATACAAGGACTTTCAAATGTGTTATCAATAATTTGATTTTATTTATCACTAACTATGGGCATCGGTTCAAACAAATTAAGAATCTTCCCAACTAAAAAAATCCGCAAAAATTTTAAAGTTTTTAACATACTTTTTTTTCTTTTTTCTATAGAGAATTTGAAGAAAATTATGTCTTAAATACTTTTAAATTTATAATTTTTTTTTTCAATATTTCTTAATTGGATAAAAAAAGGAAAAGTTTGCAAGTAAAGTTAAGTTTCTAAACTGTAGAGAAAAACATTTTTACAAAATAAAAGGATTATATATATTATTTAAACGTGATGGCATTTTAAAAATCAAACTGGAATACATAATATATGAATTGAAATAAAAAGTAAATTTTACACTTTTACAAGGATGTTGAATAAGAGTGCATTTCTAGTAATATTTAAAAAAACGCTTATTTTTTAATTTTTTTGCATTGCGTATCTTTCTGGGATCGAAAGGTCCATAAATTTTAATAAATTTATAACAATTTTATTACTTAAATATAACACTTCAAAGAAATTTTATTGCTGAATTTCTCAGATATTATTTAATTGAATTCAGTAAATTTTTATAAACTGCTGATCAAAATATTTTTCTTTTGCTGTAAAAGTTTTAAATGCCATATTAATTTTATCTTCATTTCTGTGAAATGTGTAATATAAATTTATTCGTATGATTTAAATTTGATGGAATTTTATAAATAAACTGGAATACATAACTGGAATAAATTGAAAGAAAAAATTTATTTTACACTTTTTTAAGGATGTAAAATAAGCTTGCTTTTCTAGTAAAATTAGAAAACTTTTATTCTTTGATTTTTTTTTTACATTTCATACCATGATCATTATGATATCATTGCATATGTCAGAACCAGAAGTGCGTTTGATCTAAAATTTGAAAAACTGTTGCAATTGTAATAAAAAAAAATGGTTTGAATAGTAATATTCTGGACATTTATATTCACTTTCTGATTTTAGTGTACAGTGAACCAAAAAAAAAAAACGGACTTATTTTCTGAAGATATAACTTATGATCTGAAGATCGGATCTTCACGTTCTACGACTCAATCCTCATGTCTTAGGAAATTGCCTTAAATATGCTAATCAATAAGAGTAAACAATATTTAGAATTACGAAATCAGACATAATAGCGTATTTTCTGTGAATAAACGTATTTTTTCCGACGGATTTTAAAATCTGTCCTCAAAAATATATGATTCCCATAGTTTGGTCAGGAGAGCAATCTAAAATTAGAACCCATTAATGTTAATTTTACTTTTTGCATATTTCGCCATACCTCGGGAATCATTCTTTTGTCCGAAGATAATTAACTATATTCAAAAAACTAATTTTAGTATGCATTTATTATTTTTTTATTATTTTATTCAGTAACAATTGGAAAAAGTTTGAAGTGTGTAAAAATTTTGAAGTCATTTAAAGCAGGTAATTTTAAATGGTGAAATTCAAAGCTTGAGCAAACTCGGTAGAATAGTCCCTGAGAAATCATTTTAGAAAAGTCATATATTTAAAATTTTATTTCTCTGGAAGTACTCAACCGATTTCGTCCAAACTTTGTATTTTGCCATGTAAAACTGCATTTTTTTAAATGACCTAAGAATTGTGTACAGTTCAAAGTTTTTTCAACTAGTATTAAATAAAATAATAAATATATACTAATATATATTATTTTACTATATATATTATTTTTCGTATGGAATTGTCTTTAGATAAACGAATTTTATAATTGTGTGCAAAAAATTTTCGATTCCCTTAAAAAGTTCTAGATATATGAAGAACTATGCAGAAAGTAAAATTAACATTAATGAATCCAAACATTGGGTCACTCTCCTGACCAAACTATTGGAACCATATTTCCCAGATTGCTGCTAATCCTATATTTTAGGGGTCAGAAATCCAAATCAGTTAAGAAAAAATTATGTTTATAAAGTACATTAGCAAAGAACGTGTTTGAGTCTGATTTCTTAACTTAAAATATCGAACAATGAAGAAGTCTTACAGAGTGAAGATTCAACCATTAGGTCAAAAGTTATTCATAGTCTGTTTTTTTTTCCTTTTGGCCCACAGTACAGCTGCAGTACTTTATTAGAATTTGGAAGTGAGTTGAAAGTTTTAGCTAAGAAATTTACATTGTCTAATTTTAATATTGATCTTCTTTTAATTCTATATTAATGCTTTAATTATATATTATATATTATGCTGTCAATCAGTACTTTTTTTTTTAAAAAAGACAAGAATTTATTTATTTGTCTCAAATAAATATGCATAAGGTTCTTAAGCGAGTTGACAATTTCGCATCTCTCAGCATAATTAATTTCAACTATTTTGAATTCCTGAAGTTACCTTGTTTATATGCATTAACTGTTCCTTATTTAGAATCATTAATATTAAAAATTTTTAAATTGATTATTTGTAAAAAAAAGAGGCTGGTATATTATTTCATTAGAAAGTATTTGAAATCTTTAGAATTTTGTAAAGTTCTTTATAATAACTCGGACTCTATATTTCCTTTTTCCTTAAATTAAATAAATTATAATTATGTCTGTATTAAAATGTTTGTTATTAGTTATTTATAATGCTTTGCGTGATTTTTAAATTTGAATGTATACTGTAATGATTGAAGAATTTAAGAATGCTTTATTTATTGCAATAAATTTTTTAAAGAATACGTAAATTTAATATCTTTAGCTAATGTTGTATGGCAATAGATATGTATATCTCCTTGAATAAGTTTTGGATATTTGTTGTATCGCAAAAAAATAAATGTTCAAAAAACGTGAACTGTTAAACTGACTAAGAAAGTTTTTATTTTATAAATAGTTGATCCTTGTTACTAAATTTCTTAAAATTTAAGAAAGGAAGAGAAAAAAATGAGCTTTATTTGATCAATTATAATGAAATCTTCGAAATAATTGTAGAAATTTGTTAAAAATATTACGGAATTCCAAAAAAAGTGCATGGTTCTATTTGGAAAGCTGCATCTTTTGGTAATTTTTTCCGTCTATAACTGCAACTATTCTTCAAACTTAACGCAAAAATTAGTGGAAATCGAACCTCCGATGATTGGACGAGCATCTTTCAATGCCCTTCAACTTAGCTTGATTGAGCTCCGAGACCAAACTCTTGACTACCAGTTTTCATTCCTCCTTTGGGTTCCAAGAGGTGGTGATCGCTACAGTTCTACTGGAAAAAGATCTGCAATTTCATCTACTGGAAAAAATACTGATCAAGACATTTATAATCTGCTTCTTCTGGATACATCACAGAATGTAATGAGCTTTCCAATTTGAAATTCCTTGGCGAGAAAACAAAAACATATCTGAAATAATGTTCTTGATTTATTTTTTAAATTTCTGTATTCCAGACATTATGAGCATACAACAAAATTAAACGATTTTAAATCATTATTTTGTTACAAGTGTTACACTATTTATGAGTGTTTTTTTTAAAATTGGTATTTTTGACATTGGTATATGCGATAAAATAATTTGAAATCGTTCATAAAAAATGAATGAAAGTCATTAAGGATGTGCATCAATTTACAATTGCGTTGTTTGATTACCACACCAACTCCATATGGATCAGTATCATTTTGTGCCACACAAACGCAATCGCAATTAAGTTTAACTTTATGGATCCAGTGGTATATGTTATATGCTGATGAGAGGAATAATCTGAGAAAATTTCCTTCTTTATGTATGGGTAATTGTTCTATTTTGAAGTAACTTTATCATTCTTATTACTCATGGTAACATACCATGCTCAACACAATGTATAACTTTTCTTTGTTTAAAGAGAGTTTGTCACTACAATATACTATATCTATTTACTATATATATGCTATCGTATTTACTCTTTTTTTGCCATTTATCTATATACTTTTTATATCTTTATCATTCTAATAATTAACGTTAACATATTTAGCTGAACACAGAGCATACCTTTTCTTTGTTTAAAAGTAATTAACGCTTCAATATGCTATATATTTCTTTTTATTTTGCTACTGCACTGTTATCTTATTTACTCTTTTTTGTACTTATCTACATACTATTTGTATATGTATACCATTCTTATTACGCATGGTAACATAACATGCTCAACACGGAGTATATTTTTTCTTAGCACTACCATATATATTTTTATTTCGATATAGCACTATATCATTTACTCTTTTTGCACTTATCTATATATTATTTGCATTTTTATGATTTTTATTATGCACGGTAACATAGCATTCTCAATACTGTGTATACCTCTTCTTTATTTAAAGAGAGTTATATCTGAAATATACTATAATTTATCTTCGTTCTTCCACTGTTTTCTTATTTACTCTTTTTTGCTCATATATATTATTCGTAATTTTGTGTCATTACTAGTTATGTTCAACTATGCAACATTCTCAACAATGCTTTTATTATTTTTTTTACTGGAAA